CCCATGTTCCCTCCTTGGTGTGTGTCCCAGCCAGTGAGGAGGGAGATACCCAGGAGAGCCACTTCTCTTATGCACAACACTGGATCACATTCAGGCTCAGGTAAATATTAGGGGGGCTGAGGGGAGAACTGCACACTGAAGGTTTTTTTTACCTTCATGCATAGGATGAAAGAGATTGCACAATCAGATTATAGTATAGTATAGTATATCTGTATAGTAAAGTATATCTGTATTATAGTGTATGGTTAACCTAAAGCTGGCCACATGTTAGAATCAGATTGTACAAACTTTAAATCCATCATCAATTATGTAGTGTTAGGACCTGTCTGATTTGATGCAAATTGAATAAATTGTTTAGTATTGTCTTCATTTTACACAGGTATGGTAAGTCAGAAAAAGATTGTACAATTACATTGTATAGTGTATAGCCAGCTTTAGAGAGATTATGCAATTAGGTTGTAAGGTGTTTGATTTAACGGCTGTTCCCAGGACTGCTTGGATCTGTCTCAGAACAAAGAGCAGAAGGAAATGTGCCTTTCTTTGCCTGGCTGACAATGCAGTTTATGGCTTGTTGCTTTTTCTCCACAGGAGATGGAATGTTTGGTGTTTTGATTATGTGTATGGTACTGCAATGTGTCTTCTATCCATGGCGGTGCAATGTGCCTTCTATCCATGGCGGTGCAATGTGCCTTCTATCCATGGCGGTGCAATGTGCCTTCTATCCATGGCGGTGCAATGTGCCTTCTATCCATGGCGGTGCAATGTGTCTTCTATCCATGGCGGTGCAATGTGCCTTCTATCCATGGCGGTGCAATGTGCCTTCTTTCCATGGAGGTGCAATGTGCCTTCTATCCATGGCGGTGCAATGTGCCTTCTATCCATGGCGGTGCAATGTGCCTTCTATCCATGGCGGTGCAATGTGCCTTCTATCCATGGCGGTGCAATGTGCCTTCTATCCATGGCGGTGCAATGTGCCTTCTATCCATGGCGGTGCAATGTGCCTTCTATCCATGGCGGTGCAATGTGCCTTCTATCCATGGCGGTGCAATGTGCCTTCTATCCATGACGGCGCAATGTGCCTTCTATCCATGGCGATGCAATACTCCTCCTATCTATGTAGGTGCAATGAACCTTTTATCCATGGTAGTCCAATGAGCCTTCTGTCCATGATCGTGCAACAAGCCTTCTAGCCATGGTAGTTTGATAAGCCTCCTTCCCATTTGTGTGGGACATTACATTATTTGGGCTGTGATGTGGGCAGTATGGCAGAAACCAAAGTAAGCCGTAACAGACATAAATCTGACTCTTTATAATCTGTGGACAAGCAGAGGATAAAACTTTATGCAGTGTATTCATCATCCTGTTCAGACATACCAAGGGAAGAACATTTTTACCCTTCATGTCCTTTTAAATAAAACATTCATACATCTGCAATATTCTTCTCATTATCATGCAGAAAACAAAATGTGATTTTGCTGCTGCAGTGTCAGATGCTCCCACCTTAGCGTCCTGGGTTGTGTGAAGACAAAGGCCAGTGATTTAGCGTCATTGCGTCAGGAGCAGATTCTACATTGTGTTGCTATTGTTTGTGTTGTGTTAATGAAAAAATGCTGGGGAGGAAAGGGGCTAATTTAACGGTTTCTAGAGTTGTGTATACCCAGCAAAGAAATGAATTACATTTATTTCTTATTTGTTAATTGTACAACACAATTCCACAACGGAGCACTCTTCATTCTGAGAAAGTTCTACTGGTCAAAGGTAATAAGAGTATTGCAATTTCTTTTCTAGAGGTTGTGCTCAGTGTTCGGACTTGTTGGAACTAGTAGTTCACCAGTTGTTGTTTGGCAGACTATTATTTTGTTTTCTCACTGTTACTTTATTGCTCTCATACTGCTTCAGCGCAATGTGTCTCATGTTTTGCTTTTAAAGTTATAAATTCTGCAGAAAACAAAATGTTTTCTTTGAGTATGCAACCCCTATATACCTGATGTAGGGGAGTTCACAATATGATCCAAATGACTGGCATATTGGATTTCCAGCAAATAGCCCATATAGGTGATATTCAGAATATGTGCTATGTAGGTGATGATATAAAGGATCCTCAACTTATGCTCAGTGTAAATAATGCATTGGTCATCACAATATACCCCATATATTGTACTGTATGTGATGTGTAGGATCCTCACAATATACAGTACCTCATATATGTGATGTACTGTAAAGGATTCTCACAATATACAGTGCTTGATATATGTAATGTATATTACTTAAAATATACCTCATATAGGTGATTTATATGATCTTCACAATAAATCTCATATAGGTGATGTGTAGGATCCTCACAATATACCTTTATATAGGCATCGTGTAGGATCCTTGGAATATATTTCATATGTGTGAAATATAGGATTCCCACAATATACGTCATATAGGTGATATATAGGATCCTCAAAATATACCACATATACTTGATGTGCAGGATCCTCACAATATACTTCATATATGTGATGTATTGGATCCTAGCAATACACCATATACTGTATATGTGATTTGTAGGATCCTCACAATACATCTCATATATGTGATGTATAGGATCCTCCACAATATACTTTATATACTGTAGGTGTTAGGTAGGATTCTCAAAATACACCTCTTATACAGTAAGTGATGTGCAAGATCCTCACAATACACCTCCATTTATGAAATGTGTAGGATACCCACAATATACTTCATATAGGTGATGTGTAAGATCCTCATATTATACTTCACATAGGTTGTGAGTAGGATCCTCACAGTAGGATCCATGCAATACACTTCTTATAGGTAACGATTAGGATCCTCACAATATACCACATATATGTCATGTTTAGGATCATCAGTATTTACCCCATATAGGAAATTGGTAGGATCCACAGCATGTACCCCATATAGAGGATGTGTAGGCTCCAGCATATACCACATATACAGTTAGGTCCATATGTATTTGGACACAGACACAATTTCAGGTTTTCAGGTATTTACCAAAACATATTCAAGCTATAGTTATATAATGGATATGGGCTGAAAGTGCACACTCTCAGGATTAATTTGAGGGTATGTACATCCAAGTTGGAGGAAGGGTTTAAGAATTACAGCTCTTAAGAGTAGCCACCCCCCCTTTTTCAAGGGACCAAAAGTAACTGGACAATTGAATCAAAAGCTGTTTCATGGCCAGGTGTGGGCTACTCCTTATTCTTCAATTAAGCAGGTAAAAGGTCTGGAGTTGATTCTAAGTGTGGTTTTTGCATTTGGAATCTATTGCTGTGAACCGTCATTATGTGTTCAAAGGAGCTGTACATGCATGTGAAACAGGTCATTGTAAGGCTTCAAAAATGAAACAAATCCATCAGAGAGATGGCAGCAACATTAGGAGTGGCCAAATCAACAGTTTTGTACATTCTGAGGAAAGAAGAACGCATTGGTGACCTCAGCAACATAAAAAGGCATGGACATCCATGGAAGACAACAGTGATGGATGATCGCAGGATCCTCTCTATGGTAAAGAAAAACCCACTCACAACATCCAGACAAGTAAAGGACACTCTTCAGGAGGTGGGTTTATCATTGGCAAAGAGTCTATAATCAAGAGAAGACTTCACGAGAGCAAATACAGAGGGTTCACCACAAGGTACAAACCATTCATAAGCCTGAACCTAAAAGCCAGATTAAACTTTGCCAAAAAAACATCTAAAATAACCAGACCAGTTCTGGAAAAGCATTATTTAGACGGATGAAACTAAGATTAATCTGTACCAGAATGACGGGAAGAAAAAAGCATGCAGAAAGCTTGGAACAGCTCATGATCCAAAGCATACAACATCATCTGTAAAACATGGTGGAGGAAGTGTGATGGCATGGGCATGCATGACTTCCAGTGGCACTGGGTCATTGGTGCTTATTGATGATGTGACCGAAGACAGTCATTCTGCAGTGTTTAGAGATATACTGTCAGCCCAGATTCAGCCAAATGCAGCAAAGCTGATTGGATGGCGCTTTACAGTACAGATGGACAGTGATCCAAAACACACTGCAAAAGCAAACCAGGAGCTTTTGAAGGAAAAGAAGTGGAATATTCTGCAATGGCCGAGTCAATCACCTGATCTCAGCCCAATTGAGCATGCATTTGACTTGCTGAAGGCAAAACTAAAGGCAGAAAGGCCCACAAACAAAGATCAATTGAAGATGGCTGCAGTTAGAGCCTGGCAAAGCATCAGAAAGGAGGAAACCCAGTCTTTGGTAATGTCCATGGGTTCCAGACTTCAGGCAGTCACTGCCAGTAAATGATTCTCAATAAAATATTAAAAATTAACATTTTATTTATGATTATATTAATTTTACCCAAATGCATTTGAGCCCCTGAAAATGGAAGGACTGTGTTTAACCACTCACCTACAGGGCACTTATACCCCCTTCCTGCCCAGGCCAATTTTCAGCTCTCAGCGCTTTTGCACTTTAAATGACAACTGCGGGGTCATGCAACACTGTACCCATATGACATTTTTATCATTTTTCTGAGACAGATAGAGCTTTCTTTTGGTGGTATTTAATCACCTCTGGATTTTTTATTTTTTGCTAACAAACCAAAAACCACTGAAAATGTTGAAAAACAAAAACATTTTTTCTTAATTTTTGTTATACAATTTTGTAAATAAGTGATTTTTCTCCTTCACTGATGTGCACTAATGAGGCTGCAGTGATGGGCACTGATGGGCTGCACTGATGGACACTGATATGTGGCACTGATGGGCACTGATGAGGAGGCACTGGTAGGTGGCACTGATGGGCATTGACAGGCATCACTGATGGGCACTGAAAGGCAGCACTCATATATGGCACTGATAGGCTGCACTGATAGGCAGCATTGACTGGCACTGATAGGCAGCACTGACTGGCACTGTTAGGCGGCACTGACTGGCACTGTTAGGCAGCACTGATGGACACTGATAGGCAGCACTGATGCGCACTGATAGGCGGCACTGATAGATGGCATTGATAGGTGGCACTGATAGGCAGCATTGACTGGCACTGATAGGCAGCACTGACTGGCACTGTTAGGTGGCACTGACTGGCACTGATAGGCAGCACTGATGGACACTGATAGGCGGCACTGATGCACACTGATAGGTGGCACTGATAGGTAACACTGAAAGGCAGCTCAGATGGGCACTGATATGTGGCATTGATGTGCACTGGTAGGCACTGATATGTGGCATTGATGTGGCACTGATGGGCACTGGCAGGTGGCATTGATGAGCACTGACAGCTGGCACTGATGGACACTGACAGGTGGCACTGCTGGGGCTACACTGATCATCAGTGCCCTGATGATCAGTGTACATATTCCCTCTGAGTAAAGCCAGTTACCGGCTCTCCTCTTGAGCTGTCAGCATGACAGCTCGTGAGGAGAGAGAAATGCAGATAACCAGCATTTCCCTATTTACATGTGATCAGCTGTGATTGGACACAGCTGATCACATGACCGAGCCGACATCTTCGGCTATTTCTATTGATCGGTGGTCCGCTGTGTCCGAGGGACACAGCGCACCACCTACCGCCGCGCTGTGCGCTCCCTGGAGCTGCGCATGTGCGGTTAGAATGGGAGGACGCCATATGACATCCTCCCAGAACGAGAGAACCGCCTTGCGCCCATCATTACCTTATATGGCGGGTGGGAGGTGGTTAAAGATGATTGCAGTTCCTAAAATTTGTACTTGATATTTATGCTCAACCCCTTGAATTAGAGCTGAAAGTCTGCACTTCAGATTCATGTGGATTGTTTCATTTTAATTTATTCTGGTGGCATACAGAGCCAAAAGTATGAAAATTGTGCCTGTGTCCAAATATATATGGACCTAAGTGTAGGTCATGTGTAGGTTCCTCAGCATATATCCCATATAGGAGATGTGTAGGTTTCTTTAGCATGTACCCCAAGTAGGGGATGTGTATCACAATATACCCCATGGGTAAAATTACCATTTAACCTGTATAGATAATGATGTATAGTTTCCTCACAATATATTACAGGTAGAAGGGTTCAGATATTAAGTCCAGAGAGGTGTCACTTTGGGCAGAGCTGTGGCAGAATTGAGTTGTGATATGGCTGAGGGGAGGGAGGGGGTGCAGAGGGCCCCATTGTCTTTCGGCTTTTGCCTCCTATTGTATAGCTGGTATGAGATAGATTGTACAGTGTGTAGTTACCATCAGACTAACTTTCGAGGGAATGAGAGATGCTTCTGTGTACGGTGCAAAGTATTTCCTGGGCACTGGTATTGTGTCATGTTTGTTGACTCACGTCCTGTGGCCAGCAGTAGAGCTGTAATCCATATTGTCAGAACTTTACTTCTGTGTCATCCTCTGGATCCCTTTCTGGGGAGGTTTCCAAGTCAGGATGAGGTCAGTATTCATTGTGCCTCTCTGATTCATGCTGACATCACAGGTGATAAAACCTCCCAGAAGGTGACATTTAATGTTTATACCCCAGTAGCTGTGAATCCTTGGGAGTACCCAGATCTCACAGGACATCCTGCAGAATCAGAGGGTAAATAAAACTGTTGAACCCCAGACCAGGGCAGGAATGGGAGGCCCTTATACTTATGTCAGAATGTATATTTTCTATCCTTTAGCTGTTCTTGGGGCCAGATATCCCTTAGTGCTGAACATAGGGTCTGGGGCAATATATAGCAGAGATTACAAGTCACGCCATACTTCAGAGACAAAGAAACATTCTCAGCCTGAGACCTTATCACTTTGTGTAGTCCTGGGACTATTCTTACATCTGTATCTGTATATAACCAGTATATACCATTATATTCATTTATAAAGTGTGTATGGTATGATGTCTCCACACAAGGTTCAGAAAAGTCTTCGGTGATCTGTAATGTATGTATAACAGGAATATTAATCTGTAGATTCATAAAGTGTGTACCATGCGATACCTCTCCTACACAAGGTATGGAGAAGTCCTGTATGTTCTACCTGTGATGTATGTTATGGGGGCTATTTATGAATATTCATACAGAATGTGATACGTCTCGTACACAAGGCTAAAGAATTCCTACGTCCTGGGTGACTGGAAATGTATGTCTGTGTGTGTGTATATATATATATATATATATATATATATATATATATATATATGTAGTATTTACCATTCTATGCATTCATACAATATATACGTTGTGATACTTCATCAACACAAGGCCCAAAGAAGTCTAGCCTAGGTCACTTGTAATGTATGTATAGGAGGTATATGCCATTCTCTCTATCCCACACTATGTATGGTGTGGTACCTTTTTTCATGTGTTCTGGAAAAGCCCTATATGTCCTGTAATGTATGTATAGCAAGTATTTACCTTTCTGTCCATTGATACAGTATATAGGTGATCACAGTAAAGTGAAATCTGTTTCTGTAGAATAATTGTGCTGAGCTCTGGTTAGGAATGGCAGTTGCTGCAGTACCAGCTGTATATAAAGAATCAGGTTTGTTCCCAGAGGACTGCGTTGAGATTTTCCCGGAGGCCCCAGGGGACCTAGGCATGGGGCCAAGATCCAGATTGCAGGAGACCTGGCCATACAAGGAGGAGGAAAGCCTGCAGCTAAGGAAGTGTTTTTATAAAGGCTTCCAGAGTTAATAGCGGCCGGGTGCCCTCTCTGCCTCCTTACTGGGAAAGAGCTGATAGCTAACTGATTTCCAGGTGCTGCCCAATCTGCTCATGGTTTGTCCCTGGAAATATTCAGCTACACTCCTGTCCCCCACCTTTCCTGCTTATCATATTTCTCTATGTTCTCAGTATGCAGTGGAAGTATAATATGTATATGTGACCCAAAGCATTTTCTCAGTTATAAGTCTGTTAAATATATGCTTGTGGATATATTCAGTTTATTGTCACTCTGCAACATTGCAAACGTGCCTAAAGAGTATCTATGGTAAAAATCATAAATTCTTTTCCAAATTGTACTTCAATTATTTCCAGCCTATTCCTATTAATTTGAGTGATCTTGAAGTTTGTAAACTTACTTTGTGACGTTCCTCACACTTTTACCTCCTTGAATTCTGTGACACATAGTCATTATTCCCTATCAGTAGGCACTGTTGTGTCACACATTTCTAAGAACATGCCTTCTGATCTACAGAGGTACAGAGAGGAGGAGTTTCAGGAGGCAGGGTCAGTACAGGAATCACTGCTTACAGGCAGCAAGGTACCATGGGATATGTAGTCCTTAGAAATTGAAAGTAAAGAACACAGAAGAAGCTGCAAAGCATGCAGGGAATCCAGGAAGTTGTGAAAATAGATGTCCAGCAGACAGACAGAACAGCATAAAAGCAGATTTTTTGAGTAAGACTATACTGAATTGCCAAAACTAACAATTATTTGTGTTGTTATTACAATCTTGATGGTATAAATTGAACGTATACTGTGACCATAGATTTCCTTAAAGTGATTCCAAAGGCTTACATGTAAAAAATACCAAACATGTCTATACTTACCTGCTGTGTGCAGTGGTTTGGCACAGAGCAGTCCGGATCCCCCTCTTCTTGGATCCCCTTCTGGCGCTCCTGACTCCCCCCTCCTTTCGGGTGCCTCCAAAGCAAACTGCTTGCTATGGGAGCACCCGAGCAGGCGCATTCCCAAGCCACTGCTCTGTGTGTCCCGGGAAAGTTGAGACTGCAGTGCACATCTCTGGATCGAGAGGGGGCTCAGGCGAGTATTGGGAGTGCTGGAGGGGATGCTCTACAGAGAAGGTTTTTTACCTTCATGCATAGAATGCATGAAGGTAAAAAACCTTGAGCCTTCAGAACCACTTTAAGGGCTGGTTCACCCCATAGAACTGCAGTCTAGATTCTAGAACTGCAGTCTTCCAGTGCATTTTTTGATGCGTTCCAGTTCATTATCCCCCTCTTTTTCTTAAATTTAAATAAGAATATGTGCATTTAGGTGCTTTCTGTTGCAATTTTGATTTTTTTTCAGCATTACAGTTCAGTGCAGAAAAAATGCAGCATGTTCTACTTTTTTTTTTCTGAAACTGGAACTGAACGCACTGGTGTGAAGTATGCCATTGGAAACCATGTAACCTACTATCAATTAGGGATGCACCGAAATCTCAGCTGCCGAATTGTTTCAGCCAAAATAAGCCCTATTTGCATTTTGCCGATATAAAAAAAACAAACCGATGCAGGTGCCAAAAATATCCTTTTGCCAGTGCAGTAGAGGAGAGGAGATTGAGAGAGTAGGTGCCGCTGCATCTTGATTCTGCCCTGCTCCATTCTGTCCAGGGAGAGATGTGGGTCACACATGCACAGCCTGCTCCCCTGACACCCATCCCATGCACAGCCTACACACCTGATACCCTTTAACTTCTTTCCGTCCGGCCTACTATACAATGACGGCCTAGTGGGAACCCTCCGGGAGACGGCCAATGACAGATCGCTATACCGGCCCACTGCCAGTGTCAGTGTCCATTTCGGTTTTCGGCCTCATGTATCCTTAATTTTCAATTTCAGCACCTGGATTTTCATTTCGGTGCACTCCTACTATCAATGCATTTTTGATGCAGAAAACCAAAAAACGCAGTAGACTGCATGTGGTGTGAACTGGCCCTTAAAGAAAACTTATGTTTTCTGGCTTCATTACTCTGGACAACTGAATTGAACAAGGTTGCAGATCAAGAGCTCCAAGCTTACTTGCTGAACACACAATATCCTAAAACCAGGGGATCAGCATGACATTAATGTCCCTGGAAGGCTCAGCAATGCCATCTGCCATATTTATATCAGCACAGATTTCCTTTGTATTAAAAGCTGCTATGCATACATGTGGGGATGAGGGTATACGTGGGATGATCGCAGTATAGGTAGGAGACATACCCTGTGTGTTTAGAGTGCTGTGTAGAAATCATTTGTCATGTCAGGTGAGGAATGTATTTTTTGTAGGCCTCTTCCTATGGCTGCTGTCGTCATCTTTCCCAGCTATGTTGGTATCTTATGCTGGTCATTCATGGAATGAGATGGTTTTATTAACATTTTCAGTTCTTTCAATTGACTATCTTCCTGTGCAAAGCATGAACTATAATACTGGCATGAAGATGAGCATTTGGGAGGTATAGTGTGGGTTGGAAATTTTCACCAGATGCTCCATTCTGCTGAGCTGATAAAACTGATATAGCTATAGGAATTCGAAGATTGTGTAGTGCTCTGAATATTAAATGTAAGCTTTAACTGAGCTTTTCTGAGGAGCTTGTCATTTGTGTCAGGGGCAGCAGACTCCTCTCTGTCACATAATACAGCGTGGCCTGTTTTTATTGTGTCAGCTCGTTAGCTGTTTTCTCCCTGCTGGCAGCAAGGCTTCGTTTGTTTCCAGTAATTATTTGCAGCGGTGGAGAGCCACGGAAGTGATGTGGACTGAGCCTGGCAGACTGACATTTCCCAATCTCTGCCTCCAGAACTGGAGCCATGGCAGCTTCGCTTGGTGTCGCTGTCAGATCTAGGTCATTGCAATGCCGAATGTCACACAGTAAGAGTGCTGGGCCTGGGAACAGAACTATGTACT